AAGCCAACTGTCAAGGGGAGCCTTGCGGAGAAGCGCACTACCAGTTCAGCCTACTCATGCCGACGCTCCTTGAAGGGAGAGAGGGAAGCGCTGCGGCTTTCCATCTAGGTGGTGTTGACCCGCTACGCGGGCGCTGCGAGCGGGCGTTCTCCGCGCGCGCGCCTGGCCTGGCTTTGTCTTCGCGTCAGTTTAGTTTTGTTCTTCGCGCTCGTCGCACGGTCGGTTGGCGCTCGACCGGCTGCGACGTTTGCGCTGCGGGCGCACGGATACTAACGCGCCCATCGTTGCCCTGGATGGATACCGACTGTCCTCGGCTTTGAATCTTTATTTAGTGTGGAGCTGCCGACCCATTGCACTTTGGCTCGGCATCTGGATGCGCTTGGCGCTGGTGTGCTTGGTGACAATACTTGGACAACTCGGATACCGCTTGCCCGCGGGAACTTCTCGATGCACTCCAACAATGGATACTGTGCTTGTGAGTGCTGTGTGTGTGTGTTCTGTGCACCGTGTTTGGTGACGACGCGCGCCTTGCATTCATTGTCTGTTGCAGTCAGCGGCAGCGCTTCGACAGTTTCGGTTCTTCTCCGCTCCCGTCGTACTGCCGGGCGGCGGCGACGTTCGCGCTGCGGGCGCACGGATACTGACGCGCCCATCGTTGCCCTGGATGGATACCCACTGACCTCGGCTCTGAAATCTTATAATAGTGTGAAGCTGCCGACCCATTGCACTTTGGCTCGGAATCTGGATGCGCTGGTGTGCTTGGTGACAATACATGGACAATTCGGATACCGCTTGCCCGCCGGAACTTCCCGACGCACTCAACACTGGATACTGTGCTTGTGCGTGTTGTGTGTGTTCCGTGCACTGTTTAATGACGACGCGACGACGCCTGGGTGACCGTGTGCGCCGCCATAATTACCGCTGCGCTCACCACTGAACTCTACAGAAGTCTTTCGTGCGATGCCCTTAGCCGTTACAAGCGAGAGATCGTCGCGATTTTAGACCCAGTTCGCCTGGGTTTGAAATCGCGACGATCTCTCGGTTGTAACGGCTAAGGGAATAACACGAAATTCTTTTCTAGAGTCCAGTGACGAGGGCAGCGGGACATCCAAAGGTGCACCGCCTGGGTTTAAAATTAGGGCTGGAGATGCGCGGTTCCAGGCTGGATACAAGCTGGTGCCCCAATTTTGGGTCTAGGCGGAACCGGCATTTTTCATTCCGGCCTGAATCTGCCATTTTCGTACGGGCACGCAGTGTGCCAAGAGCGCAAGCCCAGGGGGGGGGGGGGGGGGGAAAGGGGGCAGATTACCCGGTTTGCTCGAACCCATCGTGAGTACGCGGCCATGGGAGATCGCGGCCTGCGACTTGATGGGACCCCTGCCGCGGTCAAGCGGAGGCTATCAACATGTGTTGGTAGTAACCTGCCACTTCACCGTATTCGTCGAGATGTTTCCGATGCGGAAGGTGACAGCCAAGGGAGTCCTGAGCAGGCTGTCCGAGGTCTGGTGCCGCTACGGGTTCCCCGGGAGACTAATTAGTGACAACGCCTCGATATTTTGCTGGAAAGTTTTTGCGGCAACCTGTCAGGCCCTCGGGATTAAGCATTGTAAGACTTCGTGTTACCATCCCCAAGCAAATGTGTCTAAGCGGTGGAACCGCGACATCAAGCCGCTGCTCGCGGCGTATGCTCGTAAGCAGCGGGACTGGGATCTGCACTTGGATTCGATTTCGTTTGCATTGCGGTCCAACCTCAACCGCAGCACTGGTTCACGCCCGCGTTGCTGAACTTCGGCAGAGAACTCTCTACGCCGACCGATGCGGTTCTTCGTCCGCGTCAGAGCGCGGCAAGAGCGGTGCCCTCGCATGAGGATTTCGCGACGCGGACAAGAGAGCGACTGTCGCGGGCGCTGGAAGCCGCTCGCGGAAACAGGGCTCGCGCAGGGGCGGAGCAGAAGAACACCTATGACAAAGCGCACCGCGATGCGCCGTTCGAGGTGGGCGACACCGTTCTTCGGCGAAGTCACGCTCAGAGCGATGCGAGTAAGTTCTCCTCGGTGGCATTGGCCCCCAAGTGGGTTGGCCCCTTTGTCATCGATTCCAAGAAGTCCCGACTGACATTACACCCTGAGGGGCCAGAATGCTAACCTCGTCCGCGGGACAGTTCACATCGGCGAACTGAAACCCTTTTACCCCCGGGAAGGGGATGAGCCGGTCAAGCGGCCGCAAAGGGGCATTCGCGGACGCCAACGATCTCGGGATTTCCTGGGTCCACCGCGGCACAGCTACAACACGCGTAGCCAGAGGCAACCCGATGGGACCTGAACCTCGTAGAGTGCGTGGCCCGCGAAAGGGAAGAAGAGGGTGAACGATCGTTCCTGGCATAGTTTCTTTTTTTTTTCTTTGTAGGGGGGAAGGGTGCCTCGGAACCCTCAGTGTTTTTGTTTTTTTTTTCTTGTTTTTGCTTTCATCTGAAATTGGAAAACAGCGCGCAAAAAAACGAAGACGACGAGAGAAGAGCACAGGACAAGCGGTGACTATCAACTGAAGTTTTATTAAAACTATTATTTATTTATTAAAGTTTAATAAAACTTCAGTTGATAGTCAGCGCTTGTCCTGTGCTCTTCTCTCGTCGTCTTCGTTTTTTTGCGCGCTGTTTTCCAATTTCAGAAGTCATGAACCAACTCGCTTGCATCGCCACCTTAATACAGTTTTGCTTTCAATATTTTTATTTTTGTGCACGGCGTTCGGCTGGTAAACTGTCATCGGCCCTGCGGCTGCTGCCTTGAGACGCAACTTGGTGTGCACCGAATGGTCCTCTCCTAAGAGACGATGAAAGGAGGAGTCACCGTTTGGACGAACACCAGCCTGGGCTCAACTCCTCGTCTTCGGGCAGCGTATTGCCCGGCCGGAACCACAGCTCGGGGAGCCTCGTTGGACGTCCGCGACGCCACGCAGGATGCCGGGGTACAGTTCTCAGTGACATTGGACTTTAGCCCCGCATCGCTCCAGGAGGGCTGTCGCAGCTGGGTCACAACCACAGTCCCTCTCCGGTGCACCACTCCATTGGCGGGCAGTTTCATGGTGCCCAGACACACTGCTCAAGGACCCCGTTTCCCCGGAAGTCGCCTCCAAGCCGAAGTCGACACAGTCTACTGTGAGGTGTGGAGTGGCCGCGCACCCCAGGTCTTGGGCGAACTGATGGACCTCAGTGAAGACGACCCATGGGACCAATGCTGTGTGTGTGCGTGTGCGGGGGTCTCCAGGCCAAACAAAGCGACGGTGTTCCCAGCAGCCTAGCCGTACGTCTGAATTTCGGCGTACTTCGATTTTTGGGAGAGGGGAGTATGGCGCACCGTGCATTCACGAGGGCGCCCATCAAACCACTGTGCCATCTTGGCCGCGAGGCAGCTACGTAGCTGCCTCGCCTGAGACACGATCACATGTCCGTGTCGCCGCGGGGTCGATCGGGAAATCGAATTCGGCTCCGGACGTGCCGCTTTCTTTCCTAGCCACTGGATGGCGCTGCAGGCGCCCTGTGGCGGGCGAGGAGAAACCTCTTCGCCCATCGATCGATAATACTCGGTAGACAGGGGGCAAAGGGCCTCTTCGAACTTCGGACGAGACCGAGACGCAGGCAGATGGGTGGCGACTGTATCTAGGATATCGCGGGACATGAGGCCTGGGGGCCTTCTTTGTGTTTAGCTTTTGGCTTAACGTGCGTTTGTAAATATTTGTGTAATGTCGCGTGTATTCGTAATTTAGATTAAGTGTTTTGTAGAGTTGGGTTTTATTGTGCCAATAAACGGGGAGCGGAATCCCGCTCCCGTGAAAACACCAGGCTGGGCTAGGTTTGTTGACGGACCACGGGGGAAATGGCGAATCGGCGGCGGTACGCGATTTCCTACAAGCCTGATCCGCAGCTACTTAACATCTCTTCAGTGTACGGTCCTTAATGATGCGTGCTCTTCTCTAGCGAAAATTCAGTATGGCGTACCTCAGGGATGAATTCTAAGGCCTCTACTTTTCCTTCTTTACGTTAGCGACATAATAAAAATACCAGAAACTCCCTACATTACTTTATACGCAGATGACGCGAATGTATATTTCACCGGAAATTGCATATGTACTTTAGAGACAGAGAAACACTTGGTTGGACCAACTTCACTTGAGGTTAGCGGCAAATCAGTCAGAACTAAATACGTCGAAAACTAAGTATGTCATTTCTAGGGCAAAAACAAACCCATTCCTAGCACAATGAACATATAATCTCAAAACTCCATTATTGAACACGTGGAATCATAAATGTTTTGGTGTTCGTTTCCACGAAAATTTGTATTGGACTGCCCAAGTAAACGATCTCCGAAAAGAGATTCCTAGATACACTGGCATACTTTCTAGGTGCAGACAACTTCTTCCAAACTGGTTAAAACGGCAAATTTATACATCTATAATTGACTCGAGGCTTTATTACTGTTTATTGGTATGAGGGACGGCCACAGGACCTAATGTTGAGCAATTACTTACATTACAAAAAGGCACGGTTCAGCTATTTTGTAATTTGACGCGGTTTCAATCGACTGCTTCCTATAGTTTTACTAAGCATAAAATACTTACGGTAGATAACCTTTTTTGCCTAAAGGAGGCGATTTTAATTCATACTCAGATGAACACTGATCCTGACATCTTTTACGAGACGTACCTGCCCAAGCAAACAGATTACAACCTGAGGCACCAGCAGTTTCCAAAACCGAAAGTCAGAACTAATCATGGTACTCAAAAATTATTCCACCAGATTACAGATATCCTAAACAAACATTATTGCGTGTGTGAGATGGCCCCGGAACTCACTTCCATGTTTCATTTTAAAAAATGCCTAAGGAAATGTTTTCATATTGCTAGTGTAAATACCAGGTGAGCTGAGTTATTAACGTATGACTGGGCATGGGAACAGCCATACGATGCGGACGGCTAACGTTTTTCGCTTCTTCTGTACGCAGTTGATGTTCAGCACATGCTTCCTACCAACAGTGGATTCAAGTTCTACAGTTCTACTCGCAAAACCTGTCACAGCGGCGGGTAAACTGCCAGTCATCAACAAGAACACGCCACTTCGTCTCCCACCGGACACGCCCACCATCCTGCCAAAAACGTTCGAGAGGCCAGCCTCATCATCAGCGACATCAGCGGCGCCACACGATAAGAGGGACCGACCGATCGCCTATGCTTTCACTGGGCATGGGAACAGCCATACGATGCGGACGGCTAACGTTTTTCGCTTCTTCTGTACGCAGTTGATGTTCAGCACATGCTTCCTACCAACAGTGGATTCAAGTTCTACAGTTCTACTCGCAAAACCTGTCAGAGCGGCGGGTAAACTGCCAGTCATCAACAAGAACACGCCACTTCGTCTCCCACCGGACACGCCCACCATCCTGCCAAAAACGTTCGAGAGGCCAGCCTCATCATCAGCGACATCAGCGGCGCCACACGATAAGAGGGACCGACCGATCGCCTATGCTTTCACTGGGCATGGGAACAGCCATACGATGCGGACGGCTGACGTTTTTCGCTTCTTCTGTACGCAGGTTAGTAATATCGATTCTTTGTACACTAAAAAATCAAGCGACGTTTTTCTTTTGGTGTTCCCATGCCCACGGGAGTTGTTCTCGATCGTCGGTCAGAGTATAGATGTTGTAAAATTCCTGATGCTATGCGGCGACGTTGAGGTAAACCCCGGTCCTGAAACGCGTAACAAACAGCTTGACGACATGTGCAAACTGCTTCAAGATGGTCAGTCTAAACTACTAATGGTTGTAAATGAAATCAAAACAAATCAACAACAGTTGGAAGACAAAATCACTGACATCTCTAACCGGCTCCAGAATGTGGAAACTAAGACTAATGTTCTTGATAGACTGGATTGTGAAGTACGCACTACACATCAGGTTCTAGAAGAAGTTAAAAAAGAAAATGCATTCTTGCGTGCTAGACTTGACGACCTCGAAGATCGGTCTCGGCGAGACAATCTAATCTTTCATGGTATAGATGACTCGCCCTCAGAGACCTGGGCCCAATCTGAGCAAAAAGTACACTCGCTGCTTTCTAACGTCCCTGAGCTGAGCATTTCTGAAGAGGGAATCACTCGTGCGCACCGGCTTGGTACGTTTTCTCGAAACAAGTGTCGACCAGTAATGGTAAAACTTGTGTCAACCAAAACTAAAGAGAGCATCCTTTCAGCAAAAGCTAAACTAAAAACATGGAACGTCTCAGTCAATGAAGACTTCGCACCAGCCACACGTTATGCGCGCAAGAAGTTGTTTGACTTCGCAAAATCTCAGAGTCCCAATAGTATATTTAAGATAAGGTACAACAGGCTTCACCTAAACAAGAAGTGTTACGCCTACTGCAGTACGAGTGACGAAGTTTATGAAATTTCTAGTGCTACCAGTGCTACTGATAGAGGTGCCGAGTCACTCCAACCGCAACACGTGCAATCAGCAACGTCATAACAATCGTGCACTCTTCCAGTCAAAGATTCGACGGTGGAAAATGTTTCTGTTTTCTTTACAAATATCCGAAGCGTAATAAAGAAACGCGATGAATTGTGCTCCGCTCTTGATTCTGCTTCTGCCGACATCATTGTGTTGACCGAGACATGGCTCTCTAGCAAAATACGTAACGATGAACTTTTTTTTTGTGATAAGCAGTACAAAGTTTATCGGCATGATAGGGATTCGCGGACGGGCGGAGGCGTGCTGGTTGCAGTTGCTGATTACATTGAGTCATCCCATATTAACTTAGCATCTAGCTTAGAAATTGTGTGTGTACGTTTCCAACTAAGTCACAGAAACATTGTTGTCTGTGCATGTTACCGCCCACCTACCTTTGCTAAGAATTTTGTGGAGTTATTACATGACACACTTAGCGGGATTGTTTCAAGGTTTCCTAACTCGCAGCTATTTAGTTTTGGCGATTCTAACTACCCAAATATTAACTGGTCACAAGATATTCCTATTTGCGTGCCTTATTCTTCTGAAAGCAACGATTTCCTAAATCTCTGTGCAGATTTTAATCTTTCGCAATTAGTAACCGAGCCCACGAGAATTACGTCCTCAGCATCCAACGTTCTTGATCTTATTTTAACTACGTCTAAGGACCTCGTAGAGCCGATCTCTTATCTTCCAGGTCTTAGCGACCATTTAGCCTTGCATTTTTTCCTGAAAAGTCCTAAGAACAATCCTGCTGATTGTGTCAAACACATCCGTGATTACGCCAGAGCCGACTTTGACTCCATAAACCGCGAGCTATGTACATTCATGGGCTCTTATATGCAGAATTTTTCAGAACGATCGGTTGAAGGCAATTGGTGTCTGTTCAAAGATAAAATTACTTCATTGATCACCAACTACATTCCCTGTCGTGTTGTCAAATCAAACTCGAAATAACCTTGGTATAATACGACTTTAAAAAGGCTGTCTAATAAGAAAAAGCGCTTGTTTCGAGCAGCTAAATCATCAATGTCTCCCGATCGCTGGGCCGCGTACCATTCGGCAGCTGAAGTATACAAATTGGCCGTCGATGAAACTAAATATAACTTCTTCAGCATAAAATTACCCTCAATGCTCACTAACAATCCAAAACAGTTTTGGAACTTAGTCAACCCTGCCGACAAACATTTAATACAACTTAAAAATTCAGGCGGAGAGGTGATTTCTGGTGAAGATTGCGCTATGACTTTCAACGAAAGTTTCATCAGTGTCTTTAGTGATTTCTTAGGTGCCAACCATCCCGTACTACCATCTTCTGATTTTTTGCCCATGTTACCAAATGTGTTTGATCCACCCGGTATTGTTAAAATTATTGAAAACCTCAAGCTGTCGTCGGCATCAGGTGTCGACGAGATAAACGCGAAATTTCTAAAAAATACCAAAATGTACTCCTCAATCATCTTGTCATCTTTGTTTCAACAATCACTTGATCATGGCGTCTTACCCGAGGACTGGAAGGTAGGGAAGGTTGTTCCAATTCACAAAGCTGGTGACCGTTTCTCCCCTTTCAATTACAGGCCAATATCTCTTACTAGCGTACCCTGCAAAATCATGGAGCACATAATTTCTTCACAGCTCTCGCGCTTCCTGGAGTGCAACTCCTTCTTTAGCCCTTTTCAACATGGATTCCGCAAATCTTTCTCGTGCGATACTCAGCTTTTAGTTTTCACCCACAACCTCCACTCGGCTCTGGACCGTGGATCTCAGACTGACTGCATCTTTATGGACTTTGCAAAGGCTTTCGATAAGGTAACACATAAACTACTACTATACAAGCTTAGCCTACTCAGTATTGATCCATATATCTTATCTTGGTTAGAGTGTTTCCTCACTAACAGATCGCAATTTGTAACTGTCAATAACAAAAACTCGTCATCGTCCCTCGTAAAGTCCGGTGTACCACAGGGTTCTGTCCTAGGCCCCCTCTTATTCTTAGTATATATAAATGACCTACCTACTAGCATTTCCTCCTCCATAAGCGTATCTGCGGATGATTGCGTTGTTTACCGTGAAATTACTAATGACTCTGACGTACACATAATTCAATCTGATTTAAATGCAATTTCTTCCTGGTGTGATGCTTGGCACATGAAACTAAACACAATGAAGTGTAAGACAATGAGGATTTCTCGCAAAGCAGCACTCTGTCCCAACTACTTCCTATCAAATAACATCCTTGAAAACGTATCAACTTACAAATATCTAGGTGTTCATATCTCTCCTGACCTATCATGGAAAACTCACACCGAATATATCGTTAATAACAGTAACCGCATGCTTGGATATTTAAGACGTAACTTTTCTCTAGCTCCATCATCATTAAAATTACTACTTTATAAAACACTGGTGCGACCAAAACTTGAATATGCATGCTCGGTCTGGGATCCCGGTACAGAAAGCCTGATATCAGCGCTTGAAGCCATCCAAAACCGGTCAGCACGTTTTAAATTATCAAACTACCATCGTACATCAAGCGTCACATCCATGAAAGCTAGTCTCTCACTGCCCCCTCTTTCCACTCGTCGCACTATCTCCCGTCTCTGTTTATTCCATAAAATTTACTATGCCAATTCACTCTTGAAAGAACAACTAATCAGTGCTCCCATCTACGTATCCTCTCGCCTCGATCACTGCTGCAAAGTTGGTATACCCACTTCCATTTCAAATTCTTTTTTCAAATCTTTCATCCCAAAAACATCTCGTGATTGGAACGGCCTTCCCTCACCCATTGCGTCCATTGGCGATTTTGTCCTCTTTAAAGAAGCTTTAAAAAGTTACTATTCATGATCTGTGCCGGACTAACCATTTTCAGCGTTTTTTGTACTTCCGTTGCCCACCCCCTCTGTAATGCTTCGGCCCTGAGGGTATAATAAATAAATAAATAAATAAATCAGTGTGATTTTTTATCTTATTTGTTAGTTGAAGAGTCTTTAGCTGGCTCAAATCATTTCTTTCTTGACTTGTGCTGTTAGCTGGCGTTTCATTTTATTTTTCTCTCTCGATTTGTGCCCTGCAGTTGAGTGTTGTTACAGGGGTTGGGACCCAGTCAGGTGATTGTATTCGCCTTTCGTCACAACTATAGTCCCAACCCCCTTGAGAATTCCGTCAAAAAAAAAAAAGAAGCTGAGTACGCTTAAGGTGGTCTACGAACTGTTGTCGTTTAGTAGGGTACGTTGTTGGGCTAGATGGTTCATCTTTGTTAAACATATAAAACATATAAACATACTTCTTGTCCTTGTCTTTTTGGCGCTATTTTATATGTTGTTTAGACGCGTAGTGAACGCGGTCCGGATGCCCCAGGATACTCCAGGGTTTTTCTGGTTCCGAGTTGGGACAATACAAATAAATGTTACAACCAGTACCCCCGAATTGTACTCCAAAGTGGAATTCCCGAACAAGCGATCGTGGTCCGACGGCGTCTAGTTTTCTCTCTTTGCGGCAGGCACTTATTCATGTTCTTGAACGGATCGTGTAGTCAGGAAACACGCTAACACTGATCTTGACCCCTTTCCCAGCTGAATAGCGGTGCAGTCGTGGCGTTTTAACGACGGGGCGTTTTTCTACCAAAGCAACGTAGCAATGCCCGAATCGCATGGCGTTTTCCGTCCACTTCCAAGACCTGAAGAGCGACCGAAGCGCCGTCGCCGCGGCGTGAAGTAGGAGAGTTATTTCAGTGACGACTTCAGCTAAAAAAAAAATAAGAAATTATATCGCTCTTCGTAATGTACTCAAGTTCGTTGATCTCAGCGACCGATTTCAGTGGTTGCGCTAGGGCTGCACATTGTAGCCTTAAAGACACAGTAAATGTAGCAGTAATTCCGTGATAGCAAAAAGCCAGTCTCTTTCTTATTGTAAGGCTCCAAAGCAGAGATTGTAAAAACTGGAATTACATAAGTGTTAGCTGCATTGTGCAAGATGAAAGTGCAATGCGCTTTCTTGTAATTTATAGTTAGTAGTGTATTCGAGGTAACATTTTATTGACCTGAGGCACGCGAAGATAAAGCACAATACATATCCAACTTGGGCAACATAAATGTAAACAGATACGTTTCTTTCAAGTTCTATGGGTTTTATCTTTCCCCTAAGTTCTTTAAGTTCATTTATGTTCATTTATATTCTATGCTTTTTTTTTTCAAGAGGCCGACGTACACTTTGCGCTTTCCAGTTCTCCTCTCCAGCTTTCAACTTTCCCTAACCCTCTAACACGGCGGTCCTCGCAGCTTAGGAGAGCAGGGCACTAAAATGGTTATCTCCCTTTCAAAAGACTGAGGTTGTTGGTCTGTCTTTAACTCTTGTTTTATAGCTATAACGCACAAGTAATATTCACAACAATGTTAGCAACGTATTTTTTTAATCTCTTGGGCATGGAAAAATACTTCGTGACGTACTCGTATGATTTCGATGACTGCAGAACATCAAATCAATCGGAGGTATATCACGAGTGGAGATTTTCCAGGCAACCATTATAAATCGGAAAACCACAAAAGGCGTATTCAAACTATGTACCCCTTCACGCTGGAAACATTTTGTTTCCGAAAAAGCCATAGTGGAAAGTTTGGTGAAATGTGAAAGAGCCTTTAGCACTTTATGCAATTTAAGAGCTCAAAAGCTACTGTTATAGGAAATGGAATTTCGATTAAAATAAATAGCAACGAATCATATGCTCACAACGGCTGATTCTTAATACTGAAGTCATCTCCTTATAATAATGTATACACTTTCTACGGCTTGCCTTTAGGGCCCTCGCTTATAAACGTGCAAGAACGACTCTCTAGTATATGTAGGAGCCATATTGCTACAAAAACGAGAAATTCATTTGATATAAATAATACATTATTATTAATGAAAAGGTAAATTTTTTTAAGTCATGCATATACCCAAAACAATCCTTTCAACTGTTTGCCTAAAATAGAACGAGTAGTATGCTCACCAGAAATATTTACAAGTATGTATAAAAAAGCAGAAGTCTAAACACGACGGTTAACTTTCGAATTATATTATAACGTCCTTGACATTAAAAAAATCATCGTCTCACTAAAAAAACATATAGTAGTAAAGATTACACGTATATATGCTTAGAACAGGGAAATACCTACGGTTGAGGACTATATAAAGAATTGTTTTTCAAGATCTGTCGCAAAAACACGCGACCGATTCTGTGAAAGAAAAATCATGTAAATGAGGATTTCTAGATAATACAAGCTTTTTTTGTGCTACCTTAGCAGGTAGTATTTTTTTGTTTTGTTTTTTTAAAGTTGGTGTTGTGTCTGAGAAATCTTGCGTATGGACCATGCCCATGTGCGGACTATTGACGTGCTGGGTGCGGACTATAGCCTCTTCAGTCCCAAGTTCAGAAAACTTGCGCGATTTGCTTCAAACTTGTTTATTTGGTTCTTGAGCACACAAA